TATAGCATTGTGAAATTCCAACCAATTATAAAAATCTTCTTGACTTCATTCTCTCTCTTTTTGTTTCTTTTCTTTTACTTTTTTATCTTGTTTCTCTGGCTTTTACAGACAACTATTGATATAATGATATGTTTGAGTAGAGACAATGACCTTTGTGCATATCATCTCATTTAATCTTAATAAAAATCTATTCGAATAGGTATTATTGTTTCCATTTCACGAATGAGAAAGCTAGGTCTCTGAAAGGTTAAATTGCTTGTGAAAATTTCATTTGGTACGGAGCCCACCTTCAAACACTTGACATTCACACTACCTGACTGCAGAGTCCACTGTGCCACACAGCTTCCTTACCAATAGAGCTGAGTACCCAAATCACTGAGTTAGCCATCATATGCACAGATCCCATTTTATGCATAAGTTTAGCATAAAAGCTGATTGCTGATAACCTCCTGCTAAAAAACAAAAGCTGTTTATAATCATCCAGAAAGAAAGAAACTGGAACAACATTTAACCTCAGCATTTGGTCCAGCAATATAACAGCGTAGAACTTTAACTAGACTAGCACTTTATCCAAGTAATTCAGTCAATATTTAAATAAACACTGAAATAATATATAAAATACATTTTGTAGGTGTCCCAAATCCAACCTATTGAGAGTGGTCAAGAAGAAAATTCACAGGGAAGGTCCTTTAAAGGCTGTCTTGCAAGGCTCTTCAGCTGGATAATGGGAATCAGCCACTGTGAACACCTTCAATTAAGGCAATAAACGTATGTGCGCTGGAGCGCACTGGTGTTGGAGTTGGTTGCAAAGCTAAGGCAAATACAGAAACCGTGTCCTTCTGTGCAGGTTTCCATTACAACGAAGGGGAATCTAGATACTAGATTGTTTGGGTTGTTATTGTTATTTTCATTCAATATAAAATTTTGAATATATTTATTCAAATATATTTTGTTTTTTCACTGATTTTTTTCACTCATTAATGGGAAATTAGTGTTCTTCAATGAAATAGCCCTTAATAGTAGTGACTATTTTTTGTTTTCTTACCTGAGGTACTCATTTTGCATCTCCCTCTGTTTTCTCAAAGAGAAATGGTGGGTGGCAGATCTTGTCAGGTGGCAAGTCATCACCAAATTTTCGTGTCATAAGTAAATGACAATTTTGTTTTAAGTAACTTTTTAAAATTCCAAAGCATAATTTATACAACTGGGGGTATAGAATAAATAGGAAAACAGAACTTTTCACATAGAACTTAGGGCTTCAAAAATTGATATGCTAGAGACTTAGAGTTTATCAAATTTAAGAATCCAAAACTACTTTTCAGAAACAAGCGCTTGTTTTTCCATGGGACCTCTGCACTCAAGGACTGGATTCAGTATTTTGCTCACTGATTTGCTGTGGACTTGAATGAACACTTTCTAATGGATGTAGCATATTCTAATCTTCAACTCTTTGGACACAAGCATTGTTATCTCCACTCTAATCCTCTGTATGTATAATTGCATTGATGATTTATATGACCACTTTCTTCTTGTGACTCTGAATTAAGCTTCTATGCATGAGTTTTTTGTTTGCCTGTTGAGTGTTTGCACTGTCATCTACTAATAAGATTTAGTATTTTGCATATTAAGAATTCAGCTGGATTAAAAGGGGAAAATCCTTGTCACCTAGTTTGCCTCATAGGGAGTCCATTCCTCAAGACAGGCGATCTGAAAATATTAAGTGCAATTCTGTTTTTTTAAATATTACTGAGAAAAATGCTGATGAAGTGAGCAATGTCATAACTGCCTGCATAGGAATTATACCATTTGAATATTTCAAATCATACATTTACATGCATGTAATTGTTATAATATAGAATCATAGAGTCTTATAGATAGTAAGGACTTTAAGTAATTAGTTTGTCCTTTCTCTAGATTCTTTCAGGGAAAAACTGCTCCTGTGCTGGACGAGAATTCTTCTTATTTCTTAAAGCATACTGAGATATAAGGTCCATCTCTTTCAGTCTGTGGTGTGGGTTTATTTGCTCTTAGTGAAATTAATAAACAGATGGGCCCTGTGCTTTCTGTATACTCCTTTAATGTACTTGGAAACGGTTATTAAATTTCCCCTTTATTTTCTCTTCCTTTTGCATAGTCACTTTGTTATTTATTTTCCTCTGTTTACCTAATGACCATCTTTAAATGATCAGCCCCAAGTAGAACCCTTCTAATTCCAGTCAAATAGGAAATATCAACTCAGAGATTAGAACTTAATTGTGATGTGAAAGTGAAAGGATACTAATTGGAAAAAGGCATTTCCCCAGAGCCCTGGGATCTAAAAGTGGAGTCAGTCTGGAAACAAACTGTTTACCCTTGAAGTTTAACCTGGTAATGACTTAGCATAAAGAAAGGGGTAATATCATTCAGAATTTATGGGCAGTGAAAGGAAGATCTAGTGGTCACCAAAACGTGCTTTTATTTATTTTTTATTTTTTTTATTTTTTTGCGGTACGCGGGCCTCTCACTGTTGTGGCCTCTCCCGTTGCGGAGCACAGGCTCCGGACGCGCAGGCTCAGCAGCCATGGCTCACGGGTGCAGCCGCTCCGCGGCATGTGGGATCTTCCCGGACTGGGTCACAAACCCATGTCCCCTGCATCGGCAGGCGGACTCTCAACCACTGCGCCACCAGGGAAGCCCCAAAACGTGCTTTTAAATGGCAAGACTGAATTCAGGATTTCCTGGTTCTCAATAGCACACTTAACAGTTATCCATTCAATGTCTCATTTCTAAGGTGACCTCGTGTCCCTATTTGGGACAGCCCCAGTTTAAGTCTGTCATTCCTATGTATGATTAGCATCCCTTTTCTCCCCCAGTATGACCAGGTTTAGATGATAATTTATATGCTCTCCCTGCAGTCAGTCATTGCACATTCTTTGTCACTCTCTCCAGCTTGTACCTATCCCTTGGTTTTTCTTACTCTGCTTGTGTTCTCCCTTGCATTGATTATCAGTGATTTGTTTCTGATACTTTCCTTGCTTTATTAAGGTCTTTTAACATTTCAGTTCTATCTTCCAAAGTGATGGTTGTCCCCTTCATTTAGGATCATCTTCAGCAAATTTAATGAGCCTTGTGGACACTTTATTATTTAGGTTAAGGGAACACTGATACCTAGGCCAGTGGCCTTTGGAACAGCATCCATTTTCTCTCCTTTGTTTTTTTTTTTTTTTGGTGTGTGTGTGTGTATGTGTGTGTGTGTGTGTGTGTGTGTGTGTTTGCGGTACGCGGGACTCTCACTGTTGTGGCCTCTCCCGTTGCGGAGCACAGGCTCCGGGCGCGCAGGCTCAGCGGCCATGGCTCACAGGATCAGCCGCTCCGCGGCATGTGGGATCTTCCCGGACCGGGACACGAACCCGTGTTCCCTGCATCGGCAGGCGGACTCTCAACCACTGTGCCACCAGGGAAGCCCTCTCCTCTGTTTTAATCTCCTTTCCTTTCTTTTTACTGTCATGTCTTCACCCTTCCCCTACCCTCCATTTGCCACTGACCGATTAATCTTCAATTTATATCTTAACATCTTTCCAGAAATTACTGTGTGCTAGGTCCTGTCCAGAGGAGTGCACTCCTGTCAGTTTTGTACTGAAACACTGTATATCAAATTGTTCACAGATTTCAAGTCCCCATGGGGCCACCGGAAATAAAACTATGATGTACTGTTTCCACAGTTCTTATGGCTTTTACTCAATCATAGTGCATTATATAACTCTGACAAATATTTTTTTGTCCTGAAGTCATGCTTGTGCTTTTGGAAGGAAAACTCAAGAAAACTTAGAGATGAACTGTTGAATTTGCCAACATTTTCATCGTGCATTTTTTTTTAAATGGGAAATTAAAGTATCTAAGGTCTTGTCAGCAGTTAGTAAAAGGGTCCACATGCTCTGCTCACTAATGCTTCTTACTGATATTCTTTTTCTCTAGGCTTAAGTGGGTCACAACTAGAAAATAATGCCTTAAGCTGCAGTTAGTATTATCCTTCTAGTTGTGGTTAATATGCCTCAATTCAGTGAAAGTGAATTTTAATTTATTCACATACATTCAGAAAATGTTTTAGCTATTTAAAACACCTTAACTTGAAAAGAGCTACACATATATGGAAGACATCTCATGGCATGCATTCATTACGTGAAATTCTATTTATGATGTCTTTGACTTATAAAGAATCCAAGCTACTATGAAAAACATTCGAAACAGGTAATTTGATGGTAAAACCCTTCCATAATGCTGCTGTTATTGGTTGGGGCTGTCACTTAAGTTAGCTCTTGACATGACCTATATGTGGCATGATTAATTATGTCATGTCAATTTTCCACTGCAGTATTTCAGCAGCCATGGTATGGCCTGTTGCATGTCTGAAACCATTTAAATATTAGCCATTCCGCAGGGTTCCTTCGTACACAATTCAGTTGCTTAAACAAACAACAACAACAACAAATTTAAAACCCCCTTAAAGAATTTTCTGGTTGAGGTAAACAACAGAGATTGCAGCCTGTAGTCTGGATTCATGCATCAAAAATGAAGTGTTTAAAGGAGATCTTTGTCAACTAGCAAATGCCATTTCAGTCTGAACATTTCAGCACTCCTTCTATGCCATCTGTCTCACAGGGAGCAATTAATCTGAAACTTCAACATGCAGCATTAAAATTCCATTAACGCTGAACAGAATATTAACATGCCTGGCCTTGCCATGTTTATCTCTCCAAATTTCAGTGTTAATTTTGAATAAGGCAGGTATAACATTTTACTCTATTTGGTTAATTAATAATATTGAATAAAATATATAATTAGCAGCCAAATTTATGTAATAATATGTACAACTCATTTGAATAATGCTGTATGCTTTTGCAGTTTAAACATACCTGGGCTACAGTTTTATATGAGGCAAATGATTATTTGTAAAAGCACTGAATCTTTTACAAAGCCAGTTTTCCCAGGGCTCTGACTTTGTAATTCTTTTCTTTTTGCAGAACCACATCACTGCCTTCGCAGAAGTCACATGATATTGAAGCAGATGGTCTTTCACTGCATTGGACATCGTCCCTTTTCACCATCCATTCATAACACCCAAAGTGTGTTTGATGACAAAAAAGTTTATCAAGTTGTCTAATCATTTTTATAATTTAAAAATCAGTGTCAACTTATCTGTTTCCCCCACTAGACTGTGAGCTCCTCAAGGGCAGGACTGTGTCTTTCTTCTCTGTCTCCCCAGCACCTATATAACAAAGCCTCACACAGAGTAGGTAGGTGTTCAATAAAAAATGATGACCAATGAACAAAAATTAATTCTGAAATAAAACATTCACTTCAGTTTCTCACAGAATCACTGAGACCATGTGAAAAGAAACCTCTACGTGAGTCGTATTTGTGTAAGAAGTCCCTCTATTTTGAGCTAGTCAAGCTTTTTAATTTTTCATGTATCTTCTATTCGGCAGCATACCATGTTTCATTTGAAGTGGACTTTGAAAGTCATGGGGGGTTTTATTTCATTATTCAGCATGACTTATTTCCATTCTAACAGATTTCAGTGTGTGAAATTACTTTACTTTTAGAAAGTATGTTCTGTACTAAAATAACGTTTGCACATAATATTATGCTATATTTCACTTAAAATACCATTCATACTATAAATTCTAAGACTGGTGCTTCTGCTTTTGAAGGGGAAAATGCCAATTTTTACTGTAATAAGTAATGTATCATAATTAAAAATTATTTATTTGGATTTTTGTTCCTGACAGTTGTGGTTTAATTGTTGACTTGTAGTTTTTGAATTCAGGCAGTGTTTAGGATAGTCAAAGTTACTAAATCCTTAGCAATGATACCTATTTATTGAGCATTTTTCCACTGATAATTGTCTCAAGAGTGGTCTAAGGCTCCATTCTTTTACTAGTCAAGTTTCCAGATAATTTAAATAGCAAAGAACCACACCCTGACAACGCAGTTTAAATTATATAAAAGTAAGAAATGTAGTTAATGTATTTTACTTTGTGTATGTGTAGTACGTTATAGTTTACAAAGTACATTTTCATTTGTTATTTCATTTAATCTTCACAGTAACTCTGGGTAAAAATTAAGAGTTTGGCTTTAGTGTTACAGATGAGAAAAATAAAGACAACGCAAGTTAAATAATGTGCCCAATTCCACACAACTAGTAAGAGGCAGTTAAAGTTTAAATTTAGATTTTCTGACCCTAGTAGTCTTTTTAAATATGCCACAGCTGCCATACCATTTTGGACACATCGATGCCTTTCAGAGGTCAGCGGAGTCCTGGGCAACTATCTACATTTCAAAAAATGAAGACATGTCAAAATAAAGTTATGAAAGTTATGCTGTATTTTAAACATTTGTGTTTTAAGAATGAACACTTTTCAAAGCACAACAATATACTAACCAATTTATAATCCTATTTAAAAATAACGTCAAGAGTCTAGATGTGAGGTCTTTTGTAAAGTCAAAACCTAAATCAGATGTCTCTCCTGCAACCCTCACCCCCATGCCCTAACCCCACCCCTCAGGAGAGGCCCTGAGGGACTTCTCTTACACTGAGCATGTGGAATTAAGGATGAAAATCATAATATAAGGAAAATAAATTGGACTCTGAGAAAACTATTCAATGTACTGCTCAACAATAACTTTGTGATTTTTAAAGCTACGCAGAGTAGCTTTGTCTTATATGAGAAGTGGTTAATTGACTGAGAAGATTCTTCCCAACCTTGATTAGCTAAAGGAAATAAACTTTTAATTTTCTCTGTGATTTTAACAGAAATCAGAAAACAAATATAACCAAAGACTTGTCCATTACGCCCAAAATAGGTGTTACTTACTCTTTTTCATCACCATGGGAGTTAAAGCACTTTTAGTAGGGCCAGAAAAAAAAACAAAAAAAACCCAAAAAAACAGAAAATTCACGTTTCTACCTTTCAGACTTCTCTAGAAAATTCAGTTCCGGTAGAAATTTAGAACACAAAAAAAGTTTGGAATGCCTTTGACCCTCATTAAAGACTTTTTAGGCAATAACAGTGATGGGGAATTCACTTACTGGCAATGAAAGTGGAGGGAATGATCATAATATCTTAGGAGGCAGGATTACAAGTAAGACTTAAAGAGATCTGTTCTCTTGGTTCTAGCATCAGTCTTCAAGGAACCAGTTAGTCACATTTTTCTTCTTGGAAGCCTTAGCTATATATTATATATAAATGTATCTTTGTACCTGGTTAAACCTGATCTGAATGCAGGAGTTATAAATTCCTCAGAAATCCACATTCAAACCAGGATCAGAGTAAGGTCATCTGTAATATTTAAATGTCATAGACCCAAGATTGTGCAGTGAATGATCCTGCCATGAAGGAAATTCAGAAGATTAAAAAGATACACATGCATAAGGCAAAAAGTCAGCAAAGAGCCCTTAACCATGATGCCGTTACTGATAATAATGATAAAACTCATTTAAGAAAACATTCATTTGTAAATATGTACATAGGTAGTCTAGTGAAAGCAGGCAAACACATGTCTTTCTGATAAAAACATCTTTTTATTCTAGTTACTTGGGGCCCAGGTCAGTATGAATTGGTCAGCCTGAAAATTTCAGTAGTCTCTGTTTGCATGGCAGAAATTCTGCACATGTTTTATCTGATTCCTAAGATTATCTAAAAGGATCTTTTATGTTAAAAGAGAGGTGAACCTTCTTTGACAGACTTTGTCTATTCCACTTCTAACTGGGCCTCTCTTTTCTCAGGATCTATCCTAGCCAAATATCTCAGTTCCATTTCCCATACAGTTTCCTTTGTGGAAGAGCAGTAGGGGAGGAAATAATTCTCTGCTGTGTATTGTATTTTTCAAATAAAATTTAAAAACTAAATTAAAAAAATTAAGTTTGATTTTTTTTTCCCCAGGTATTAATTCTTTCTTGGGGGTAGAGGAATAAAGAATGCTGGCTATCCTGATGGAAGTCAGATTGCCAGAGCGACTGGAGAATGTTTGGAAGGGGGTCACAGTGGTTCAGATTGGACCAGTTCTTTGGGCAGCTAAAGGACCCTCTGCATCCCATGGGCCATCCTGGGATCTCACCAACTTCCTTATTTACAAATCAGACAATATAGGTTGCTGAGCAGGTACACAATCTACTATATAATCTGCATCCTATGTATGAACAAGATGCTAAAGACTAGTTTGTAAATGACCTTGTGATGCCGAAAGCTCAGCTTCTCTGTACACCGGTGCTGAATCAAATCTTGGAGACAGAGTTTTGGGTGAAGTAGAAGAGAATAGCTTTATTACTTTGCCAGGCAAAGGGGCCACAGTGGGCTCCTGCCTCGAAAAATTATGTGCCCCCCCCTTGGAGAAGATAGAAGTTTTTTTTGTTTGTTTTGGTTTTTTTTTTTTTTTTTGCAGTACACAGGCCCCTCACTGTTGTGGCCTCTCCCGTTGCGGAGCACAGGCTCCGGACGCGCAGGCTCAGCAGCCATGGCTCACGGGCCCAGCCGCTCCGCTGCATGTGGGATCTTCCCGGACCGGGGCACGAACCCGCGTCCCCTGCATCGGCAGGCGGACTCTCAACCACTGCGCCACCAGGGAAGCCCAGTGAGAAGTTTTATAGTAATTGTTCAAAAAGGGTGTGATCAGCTCATGGATATTCTTCTAATGGGTTCGTGGGGAGGTAAGTAGGAGTCAGCATCATCAACCTTCAGGTCCAACTGGTCTGGGGTCTACATGCTTGTGTGCAGCATACCATCGTTCATCGTTAACTTCTCCCACCTGGAGGGGGTTTCAGTATCTGCAAAATAGTTCAAAGATATTGTTGTGTGTATCCGTTAATGGGGGAACAGGACCTTGCCCCAAGGCTGCTCTTGACTGTTTCTCCCTGGTCTCGCATCCCCTCCCTTCCCTAATTAACAACTGCTTGGATCTGCCCATTGGAACTCAGGGAAGGTCATGGAGGCTGAATGAAGGGTGTTTCCTGTAATCAAAGAAACGGGGGACACAGAAAGATTTCGTGCCTAGGAGCCCCACGGGGCCATGCTCAGTATCACTTGTTCCTGCCTCTAGGTTACCATTTATTAAATTTTTATTTTATACTCTAAAAAGTTTCCCTGGACATATACCAAATGGTTCTATTTACACCTTACAAACATTGATCTCACATTTGGCAGGCATGGTCTTTCTAATGAGTTTTGTGAGTTATGATTCTTTTAAAATATAATTAAGGAAATTTATTCCAGATTTTAAATGAATGATTCTCTTCCAAGAAGAAAAAATAAAAGTATTCAAATTCTTCTTTCTTGTCTCCTTCACTTTAGATCATAGTTGGTTCTTGGTCTGATAGAGCCTCAGGACATGGTCAAGGTGTAGTAAAAATTAAGTTTACTCTCGCCACCCCAAGATTGTGAGCCATGGATGGATTATAGGATCTAAATTCTAAACTCACACTGCCATTTTCAAATCTGTGGACTTGCTCACAAGGACCTCCAGACAAAAAGCAATCCAGATGAGTGGGCATGCAACCACCTCCAACAATCAGACAAAAACTGAAAGTTTACGTCTCAAAGATGCCAATATTAACGAGGGTGATTCTTACACCATCTTTTGGCCTGTTGACCTTCATATTATTGCATTTATAAATTCATTTCCATTTTCATTTTGCACTGAAATACTATCACTTGTAGAAAAGGGGAAAAAGCTTTTTTTCTTCCCAGGAGGAAAAAAAGACGTGCATTTTAAAATTGATATTTAAAAAAGGTGTATTTTAAAATTGAGGAAAAGAGGTGTATTTTAAATTTGATATTTAAAAAAGAAAAAGAAAAACATTTCCAAAATATTGATACATTTTGAGTATTAATCAGATTTCCCTAGAGATATTGTTCTTACTCAAAAAGGCCTTTAGGCCTTCACTCATTCAGCAAATATTATAGAGGGATTCTGTGCACCAGATAATTTGCAGTGTGCCGACTAAACAGTGGTTAGAAAGAGAGACATGGTCCCTACTCCTCCAGGTTGGATAGATCAGCAGCTCTGACACTGATAGTGCCCTAAGAGGTCTGTTTAAAGTTAAGGGGGGAGAATTGGCTTGGAGTTTACCAGCTACCTATTCTTGGAACTAAGCAAAGGTCACTTTTATAGATTACAGCAACAGCTAAAGTTAATTTAAAAAACCTTTGCCTCTATAAATGACACTGTACTATTTATTGCTGTGCTTTAAAAAAAGGCAAATGCCATAATAATAAGCAAATACTATTCTCACAAATCTATGGTTTAGCCGAGCCATTTTTCTAGTCTGAGCTGGTTCATTCATGCATCCATGACCAAGTTGACAGCTCTGTTGATCTTGGCTGGACGTTCTCCAATGTATGGGGATCATCTGGATGTAGGCTAGTCTAGGATGGCTTCACTTGGGACAACTGAAATTTTCTCTGCATGGTCTCTCCTTCAGACTAGCTAAGCTGCTTCACATAGGGGCCAAGTTAGAGCAGAAACATGCAAGGCTCTGGCACATTATCAATTTCATCTCATTCAGTTGAGATGGGCCAAGGCAAGTCCCAAGGCCAGCCATTTTCCAAGGAGTGAGGGAGGAGCTGCAAAGGCACATTGCAGAGGGTTGGACACAAAGATGGGTGGAGGGCTTCCCTGGTGGCGCAGTGGTTGAGAGTCCGCCTGCCGATGCAGGGCACACGGGTTAGTGCCCCGGTCCGGGAAGATCCCACATGCCGCCGAGCGGCTGGGCCCGTG